GTAAAGAACATAAAAATATAGCAGTCAAACGCAACACTTGTAAAAGAGATGAATGCTTCAGTTTGTTGCAGGTCAAAGTCAAATGAATGCGATTGGTTGAACGAGTGTTCGTGATGTGTGTTCTTTGTTATCTGCATTATTTTCATCAGCGTAAGAGACTCAGCAGCAGATTAGAATCAAGTACAACATTCATACATTTAATAAATCACCAAATTAATACACGCATGTTCCTGTGACCATGCAACGCACGGATTTTAGTACAGCAGGCTGCACACTGCTCATATAAAACATATTCCCCCATTATATTGTCACTTAAAACATGCTGTAAATAAAAGACTGAGTGAAAATATAAAAACAAACATCAAACATGGGCTCAGTCTACGTTTGATATGATAATGCCATCCAGAGTAAGCAAACAAGAAATTAGAGGTCATCAAGGTCTTTGATGACCTCTGGTCTTACAGAAACACCTGCAGTTTAATTATCATGGAAAGATAAAGTCGGGTATTATCATAGAAGTGAAAAGGTATGCTGTTCCTTCTAATGCATCAAAGTTTTGCTGTGTAGTTTGACACAGAACTCAGAAGATGGAGCTGGACAATGTTCCAGAGTTTAGTTAATGAGCATCAACAGTGAAACTAAACTCTGGCAAGCAGTGATGTAACAAGTTACTGTAACCAGTTTCCATGTTTTTAGTCATCATGTTTAGTAATTAATTACAATTATGTTATTATTTAAATTACAATGGCTCTCAGTTTTTTTTTTTACCCTGCATGCTCACACTAGTCAGCTGAATCAGCTCGTTTCTGGGAGGTGGAAAATGAAGAGATTGACAGCTTTGATGAGTGCAGGTCTGGACAATCTTTTTATTGAATTAAAGGACAAGAAAAACAAAGCCAACAATAACCTTGTAGCTTCCACTTCCACCTTTTTCTACCATAGAATCACCCCGGCCATCACTCTGGGCTGTTTTTCTGTTCATATGTCAAAAGTACAACACAGCTTGTATGCATGTTGTGCAGAACTGCAGCTTTAAATTATTAACTGGTAACTATAAGACAATTATGGAATAATATAATGTATTACTTTTAGGAAGATTATCAAGTAATATCTAATCCATTACTTTTGTGAGTAACAACCACAACATAAGCGGTCACAGTGATGCCACTTTCAGCAAGAGGAGCGAGAAAACATCACAATATTACTGTGAACACTCCTGTTTGCTGAAGAATTGAGTGAACGTAAGGAACTGTTTAATGTAACAAAAGTACTGCAGAACAACCCGAGAACATCCTTCCATGTATGGTGGAGGCAGTGTCACTCTCCTAGAAAGGAAACTATCCCAGAGGCTAGCTGAAGCACTGCAGAAGTTGGGTAACGCCGTAAAGTCCTGGAGAATGTTTTAAAGAAAGCCACCAGACCTTAAAGGAGCACAGACAGGTCTGATCTGCTGCTAACCAAAACACCTGTCACACAGGCGACAGATCCTTGTAGTCATCTCTTCTATCGTGTTCACCAGTTCACTGACAGTCATTGCTCTGTGTCAGTGCAAACGACTCCTGGACAAAGGCTCTACAGATGGGGCAGTGCTGGAAAAAGGACACGCAGCTGTCACACATGCAGGCGTGTCTGCAGGGCAGCAGCACCCTGTTCACTGCTGCATTCTGACACACCACACAGTCTCTGCCCTCCGTCCCCTCTGACCAGTCCTCCTCCTCCATCACTGGGATCTGATCCTCACTCTGAGTGTCACTGGGTGTGAAAGTGTGCCCCGAATCATTAGACCCAGACATCCCCCCGCTGTCAGCAGACATGAAAAGAGGCTGCAGGAGACAAGAGATAGGGCCTTGTTACAGCAGTTTAAGAAAAACCCAAGTGCTTGGCAAACTGGAGATTTTCACACGTGTATTGACACTGACAGATACGACACAAAATATGTAACATTTTGCTAGTCTAAAGCCACAAGATCTGCCTGATAGGCATCTGCAGTAATCTGCATCAGGATGAGAACTGCAAGAAGAGTCAGTGAATTCATCTGAGTGTTCATCCTGCAAGTGACGGGAAAGAGAGCCTGCTCTTTTGGTTTCTAAGCAGCTCGTCAGAGGTTTTGTTAGTTAATTTATTACCTAAACTTAAGTAAAATGATGTCTCTAATTAATGACTAATGTTTATTATATATAATGACTTATTAAAGTACAAAAACAAACATTCATCTCAGTTTGCCAAAAACATACAATCCCTGATTATAAACTTTGAATTATTTACAGTGAAACAATAAAAGACAATCAAACAACTAAATAAATGTAACTGCTTAAAACAAAAAGAAAAAAGCTCTTAGTCCCATTGTTGACTTCAAAGAGACACATTTTGTTCATGACTGACACACCACTACATCATGATACATTTTCCTTCAAAGCACACATTACAGAAGGCAGGAAGCACTGCATTAATGAAACCTAATTTACCACATGGAGCCTTGCTCTAAAAAACTGTCACATTTAAGACCGTCCTTGAAATAACTGTTTAAACCCAAAATTTTTAGAGCCATAATGTGGCACTACAGAATAGTAACCAACCTCCTGATGTTTGTATTGTCGGTAAAATAAAAAAGCTGCTTTTTTGTTGTGCTGGCCGTGGCTGCAGCAATGACTCTAATGGTGAAAACCAAGGAAAGACTGTCCACTTTCACTCTTGGCCTTTAAACAAGTGCTTCTTGATTGCTGGCTGGCTGCACTGACACAGGAGAATCCAGGAGTCACTGGGATTTATGCTTCAGTGGGAAATGAAGTCATAACTGCAAACCCCTCTGAAACCATGGGTGAAAAATAACTGAACAAAGCCAACAACTATTCCGTTTTGTTCTTCTCATGCATTTCTGGCTAATTTTTCACCTCAGTTTTTGAATTTTTCAGTGACAGAATAACAATGGTCTCAGTATAAGGAATAATAAGAATAAGAATAATAGCATCAACCTAGAAATAACAGCAAAGTCCTGACAGTTTGATGAAACTTACATCAGAATGTACAAAAAAGTGGACCTTTTATGTTATTTTTGACATTTAATGGTGTCCTTGAAATCAAATGCATTATTATTATTATTATTATTATTATTATTATT